TCCACTCAAAAGAAAAAGACAAGCCCATTCCTGCGACAATCTACCTCAGTCTCACGCCAAGCGAGACATGGACATGCCCTATTGGGCCTTCTATACGAGTACACGGAGGATTTTATATATAGAGAGAAAATCCCTCAAAAAGTACAGAGAACAAGAATCCTAAACTCCGAGAAACTCAGGGTCTCTTTGATTCACAGGATTCTCAAAAAGGAATAGGCAAAACGGAGAAACAGAGTATCATGTCCTCTTGTGTCCTACATGATTACAAAACTACATGAATTTGGATGGAAGAGTGTTTGATAGCACATGAAAATAAAGGAATTCTATGAAAAGGTTTGAGTGGATGGAATTTTTCCTCCAAAATGTAGTACAAATAAATCCTATGGAAAACTTCCTAAGGATTCAATCATGTAAAGAGAAGACCACCATAGGAAAATGAATCCTAAGGATCCAGATCGTCCGAAAATCCTATGTAGTTCCTTTGATCAAAGGGGCCCTCGGTCCCCATGTGAGCACAAATATCTCCTGCAATATCTTCATAATAAAAATATTGGGACTTCCACAAAGAGATTTCTTAGCAAACATATAATATATGTCTTGGTCCCTTGTGTCACGGAGATAATAAGAAATTTTGGAAATGTCAAGGAGGTCATGACGTATCCCATGCATATGGGGAAAATAAGATTGAGACTAAGGGTGCCGATAATCGAGGGATCACTTGACCTAGTATTTCATCATGTATTGTGCAAGTTGGTATCATGGGTGACCTGGAGATGCACAGTGCATAACAAGCACGTGGTGTACACATAAAACAAATATTAAATCATAGCGGAACGGCAACACAAAAGGATTGAAAAATGGGACATCCCATAATGTGCTTAACCTGTGGATCAAATAGGGTGCTGATTAGGACGTCCCGATGTGTGTGGGGATCTCCCATATGCCGCTCTTTGCAGCATATTGGCGGCATAACACACATGTGGCCCTCCACTGGGCCGACCATTGGCGCATGTAGTGAAGCGAGCGGGTGGATGTTTGCAGTTAGTCCGAGAACCATGCACTAGAATGAACTAATACATGTAGCTAACCAAATTGAGGTACTAGAACTACATGCAGAGTTTGTGTAATGAAATTTTTAAGAAAAGTCTTAGAAAAATTATTAGAAATTACAAACATCTTTTGAATTTTCCAAACTTTTTTTAACACGAACAAATTTTGAACTTTTTAAATTTTCCGAACATATTCTGAAAATCACAAGCTAAATTTGGAAACGCTAACATTTTTTGAAATTCTCTTTTTTTTAATTTCATCATTTTTTCAAGAGCATGACCATTTTTTGTAAACACGGTGTTTTTGAATCTGTGAACCAAATTTGTAAAATGTGATAATTTTTAATTTTCAATTAAATTTGAAACACGATCATTTTATGAAAAAATCTAGAAGATTTCCTGAATGCCAAACAAATTTAAAATTCCAAATAATTTTTGAAATTTCTGAGTGTTTTAGAGAAAGAAACTACTCCCTCTGTGGTGCCTAGAACACCTTATATTAGTTTACATAGGGAGTATTTGTAAAATAAAAAATAAAATAAGAACGAAATCAAAGAAAAATGGCAAACGAAACAGGTGGAAAAAGAAAAGGAACAAATGAAAATGAGTAAAGTCCGCACATGAACCTTCCAAATGATTCACAAAACAGGTAAAAAACATAATTAACGTCTTGGAAGGTTGGCAAAACCCGTGTATACGCTAGCTAAAATTGGGCCGGCCCATCCAACCGCTAGGGTCCCGTCCTTTCTCCCCGTTGGAAGCTCTGGCAATTTGACGCTTAATTCTTCAGATAGGGTTTGCATTGTGCCAGGATGATTTTGGAATTATCTTGGGAGAGGGAGATATCTAGCCATGTGCCATGATGGGTGGCGAGTTGGTTTTTGGGCGCCCCAGATGAGGGCGCGTTAGTTCGATCAAGGCTCACATACGTTGATGCGTGGGCCCCTTCACTTAACGTTATTCATTTTCCTTTTTTCTGTTAGAGTATTAGATCTAACTGGCATGTTTAGCCGCCAGATCAAACCAACAGTTTCAGCTAACTAAGTGTAGGGACCGGGAAGCTTGACCACAAACCTTTTTTTAATTCACTCAGCTAGCTAGTGTACAGTCGATTTTTTGCAAGATCTTTTTTTTGTGAACATCAGTACAGACATAAGCGCTCATATACACACACGCATACACTCATCCCTATGAACGCACACACGCACACCCTACCCCTATGAGCACCTCTGAAAGACTGAGCCGACAAATCATCTAGAGATTTACGAAGTCACTGTAGGCGCCTCGTCGTGAAACATATAATTAAAGCTTTTTAAATTTCTTTTAGCTGGCTATAAGTGAACATATGTGTTTTTTTACCAAGATCGTAATTAGCTATATATACGTGTACTAAACCAGTTATCATGGAGTTGCTCTATTCATGTTAGAAAGCAAATTAAAGGCTGCCTCATATCTCATACGTGAAGATGAGAAGTGTGCAGTTCATGTCAATGGTTAGCACATTTGAGTATGACACAGGCCGGTTTGTGTTGTTGCAGTCACAGTCTGCACTGATTACAATATATCCGAACCGGCGTCGCTGCCTCCTCCATGTTTCTGTGATCTACCCAAGTGCTGCTATTGG